TCTGAAGGACACTTGGCCAAGGTGGCCCACATCAGGTCCTCGTGGCTGACAGGACTGACAGGCCCCAGCTCCCAGCTGGAAACAAAGGAGGGTGCTTCAACGATTTAGATCCTCCCAGAAGAGCCGTGGATGAGCATTAACATTACTGGTAAGTATATTAATTTTCTCCTGGACACAGAGCCTACTAATTGGTGCTAAAAGCCATCTGAGGTCCCGACTCTTCTCACTATCTCTTAGTTGTTAGAATGGACGGAAAACCTCATAAGCAGTTCCTTCTTCACCTCTACCTTGCATGTGAACTTCCGAGTTGTAAAACAGCCCAGTGGTAGATGGAATTTGCTCCAGGACTTAAGAAGCATAAATGGCATAGCTGAGCCTCTACATCTTGTGGTTCCTAACCTGTACACTATAATAGACAAAGTGCTAGTCTATAGGCCTTTTATTATAAGAACCACCTTCCCTCTGTAACGTGATTTGTGCCACTACTAGAACCTCTACTCGAAAAAAAAAAAAAGTATTCATATACATTGTGTTTCATTCATGTACATTTTGTTTTAGACAGTCTTTAATTTATATTGTCTTTCATACAATCATTCACATTGTATTTTATAAAAAAGAATGCTTTCTGTTCTACTGTTTTGGGGCCTAGCATTTAAGATTGTCTTGTTCTTGTTGCTCTGCTAAATAAAAGTCACCTCTTAGGATACTATAAGGGAGCCCTGGTGGCATGTTCCATAGAGAACCGTGCAGCTAAGACAAAGGTTATATCTCTTTGGCAGATTGCATCTCCCAGAGGCTCCAAGGGAGAAAAATAAGAATTCTCCTTCCATGTGATTTATTGCTTAGGCAACCCAGTAAAGGGTCCACTCCACATCCATGGCAGTAAATAGTAATAGTAGTTTACCTCATATGAAAGAGAGGTAACTTTACTTCTTTGAACCTTGATATCTTCATCTATTTAGGATAATACTGTATATGCTAGAATTAACATAAGAGGTAATGCACATGTGGTGGCTGTGTGCTTCTCAATAAAACTTTAGTTCTGTGGCAACCTTTCTTTGCAGATGTTCTTTTAACAATTTCTACTAAATGAACTTTGCCCTTGGATGCAAATTTCTGAGTTCAACCCTCGAAACAAGTTCTGTAACACAGATAAATTTTCGGTGAAAAAAGTCTGCTTTACAGGGAATGTTACTGAACACAAGGGGTTCTTTCCATAGTCAATTGCGAGTAAGACAGATGAATTGCAATATCCAAAGCACTTTATTGCAGATCTGGGAGAGCAGTGAGCATCATCTCAAAAGCTGCTTCCCTGTCTAGAAGTGGTCATTACTTTTTATACTTATGTTAGATGTTAATCTACTTAATATGTTACTTTTTCTAGTTAAAGTACGATATTTCTACATTTTGAAAGGGCAGTTTACATATAGTTACTAGTAAACAGATAACTAAGAAATAGTTCACATATGACTGGGAAAAACAGTTTTTGAAAAGTTTAATGCTAATCCAGGAAAGATATAGTTTTCCTTCCTGGTAAATAGGCACCTTAAAGAACAATTTATATATGATTGAGAAAAACTGTTTCAAAGAGGTAAATGCTAATCCAGGAAAAATGCATTTCCCTTCCTGGTAAACAGGCAGCTTAAGTACTTTAGATTTATAAATAAAGGGAAAAAAATATAAGACAAAGTGACCAGTTTTGCAGTCTAGAGGCAACTGATGTCAGTTTTAGAACTATAGTAACTGATAGGTTTGAATGATTATGAATTTATTAATACCACCCCATCAGGTCACTATGAGTTGCAGGCGACTTGATGGCACATAACAACAACAACAACCCCATTGTTACTGAACTGAAGTGGTTCTTTCCATAGTCAATCGCCACTAAGACAAACAGATTGCAATATCCATAAGTGCACTTTATTACACAGATCTGGGAGACAGCGAGTCACCTCCAAGACTGCCTCCCCGTCTGGGAGTGGTCATGGCCTTAAATAGGAGAGTGAAACTCTAGCTCATTTAACAATGCACTTTTGTTAGTAATAAAAGGTAATTTCTACATCTGAAAAGGACAGTTCCCATTTAAGTGTCAGTAATTCAGGAAGGCCCCAGTTCTCTTCTTGGTCGACAGGCAGATTAAGGTACAATTTACATGTGACTGGAGAACCAGCTTCACCAGGATCTAGGATAGATACATTTCCTCTTCTGGTAAATAGATCAAACTACTCTACATGACTAAAGACAGGAAACACAAAATTCAGAGGCTAAGCAACTAGTTTTGTAAGCTGAAGAAAAAATATACTTTTATAACTGATACCTATATAGAGAATTCTGAACTTATTAATACCACCCTCTCACCATCAGGAAGAGAGTTTTTCTTTCTCCACATTTTCTTTTTTTGTCTTTTTGGTAGATCAATGACTTGGTTGAAATGCATATTGATACGGTCCTGAAGGAAATAGCCAAAACAGTGTTAATTTCCCTGCAGGAAAGTGGTGCTACCAGAGTAGAAGATATGTTGACCATCAATGAGGTAAGCAGTTATTTATTATCTTATAATCAACAATACTGGTTCACAACCTAACCATGAGTTTGCAATCTAAAAGTAAGAATTCAGGTCAGTGGCATTTTGACAGTATAGCTTTCCTGAATATCCTCAGCTGCATGAACTTCCTTGGCTTTAACTATAAACGTGGCCCTTACATAAAATCACCTGGTTCTCAGCTAAACCTTTCTTGAGTTTCATTAATCTTTCTCCTCTCTATAAAGCTGTGGTGACTTACCGAACACAAGGAGTTCTTTCCATAGTCAATTGCCAGTAAGACAGATGGATTGCAATATCAAAAGCTCTTTATTGCAGATCTGGACGGGCAGAGAGAATCTTCTAAAAAAATTTCTCTCCATTTGGGAGTGGTCATTAGGTTTTTATACTTTGGTTAGACTTTAGTTAAAGTTACAGGATATCTACATTTAAAAAGAACAATTTACATAGTAAATTTACTAGTAAATAGACAATTTATGAAATAGTTAACATATGACTGAGAAAAACAGTTTTGAAAAGGTAAATGGTAATCCAGGAAAGATGCCATTTCCCTTCTTGGTAAACAGGCATCTAATGTACAATTTACATGTGACTGAGAAAAATAGTTTCAAAATGAGGTAAATGTTAATCTAGGATATATGTATTTCCTTTCTTGCTAAATAGGCAGTTTATAGTACTTTACATGACTAAAGAAAGGAAAAAAAGAATCCTAATGCAAGGTCACTAGTTTTGTAGGCTGGAGGTAACTGATGTCAGTTGTATAACTATACTGATATGTTTAAATAATTCTGAATTTATTAATACCACCACATCAATCTTGGTTAAAGAGTTGGCACTGTCAGTACAAAAGAATGTGCTTCAAATCCACCAGCTGATCCACAGGAGAAAGGTTGGCAATTTCCTCCCATGTAATTTACAGCCTCCAAAAACCCACTGGAGGGTCTGCTATGAGTTGGTTCCAGTTTGGCAGCACATACCAACAACATGTCCTCTAAGTGCACCATCGTCTATTCTCATGGTTTTAATTGCCATATACTTCTTGGTGATTCCTAAATCCATCTCCAGTGAATCTCTCTCTCTCAAGCTCCCAACAAAGGCAGGCCCTAATTTAAGATAGATCCCCACTCTAATAACTTGGTCATAAGTCAGTTAAGTTGAATACCTCCTTTAGTTTTAGTTTTCTTTATTACTTCCTTTTTGTTGTGAGTATATTTATAAAACCATAACTTTTAACATCTTTGAATGACCATATTCACCTGAGAATGATAGCATTAGCAAATTCTGTGCTTGCTACAGCATTGTATGTAGTACATCTTAAGATATTGAGATACTATCTCACTCCAGCAAGAGTGATAGAGTTTAACAGGGCGCAAGAAATAGATGTTGGAGAGGATGTGGCGAGAAAGGAACTCATACATTGTTGGTGGGATTGTAAAATGGTACAACCATTCTGGAAGGCAGTTTAATGCTTCCTCAAAAGTCTGAACATAGAAATTTCATATGACCCAGCTATTCCACTACTTGGAATATGTTGTTTTTGTTATGTGCCGTCGAGTCGCTTGCGACTCCTAGCGACCCTATGTACAACAGCCCTAAACTTGTGCTCTGCCAATCGCACTGTCTCTGACACTCCCATCCCTATTACCCCAGTCACTGAATCAGTCCACCTCATAGAGGGCCTTCCCCTCCTGCACTGTCCGTCCACCCTACCAAGCATGATGTCCCTCTCCAAGAACCGGTCTCTCCTTACAACATGTCCAAAGTATGTTAGACGAAGCCTCAGAATCCTTGCCTCTAAGGAGCCACCTAGTTTAACCCTTTCCAGGACAAATCTGTTTGTTTTCCTAGCAGTCCATGGTATTCTCAATACTCTTCT